CCGGAAATGGGGTGGGTTTCAGGGCCCCCCCCCCCCCGTATGTTAGAACATAATCTTACCTTTGTAGTTCTTTTGAGGAAACCAGCATTGGGATGGGTACCAATGCCTATGTTAAGTGCTGTTGCATTTTGGATTTTCTTGAGTACCTTAAAACTCCCCCATGCAAATTGCTTTTCAAAATAATGCTTTCAGGGATCAGAAGTATTTTCTTAGATTGCCAGTCAATGAATCTCTTATCAAGCTGAGTAGTTTCCTCCTGTTCCCTTTCTCTCTGCAGCTAAAATGGGAAATTATAAGGGGATGGCTTTTCGACAGGTGGGAGCCCTCCCTCCCACCTATCTGCCCACCCTCTTAGCTCCACACATGGCGAAGTGAATCATTCCAGCTAATGGCAGTTCCCTTTAGAGCGGGCCCCCTGTGTGCTTGAGAACAACAGGTAGCCAGCGATGAGGAGCCGTTAATACCTTAGTGCTCTCTGACAAGTTATACCACGTATAAACATGACAAAGACTCACTCTTGGTACCACAAGCATTTTTGAAAAAGTGCATGAGTTGTTGTGTCGTGGGCCTATTTAAAATGCCTGTAATAAGAATTATTTACCCACACAAAATATACAGACAGTACCGCTTAGAGTTTTAAATAACCTCTGAATTTGAAGGCTTGTGTGCTCTTCAGTTTTGCACGCTGCCTTGCGGTTCAGAGGAAAGCATGAATTCCAAAGGAATCTGCAAAACCAGTTGCTAGGAATCCCATGTCTCTTGTCAGAAGACAAAATGGAAATAAGTCGAGGTGGAACTGGGTTTGGTAGGAACTCTTAGACTTTGATTTTAACCACTCCTGTTGGCAAGCTTTCTAGAACTCATTTATTCCGTCGTTCACAGAAGCGCGTCCTGGGTGCCCGCCGTGCTGCAGGCCGTTCTCCGTGTGCTGGGGCTGTGAGAGCCAGGCAGACGCCTTCCCTGCCTGTCTGAAGGCGGCCATCTTTCCCTCCACGGGGAAGATGGATAAAGCACACATCTGCAAACAGGCCAGACAATTTCAGATCGGGAGGTTCTGGTGGGGGCCCCAAGTGGAGGTCTGAGTAGAGGGGCCTGTAGGGAAGAGCTGAGGCCCAGAGCGCTCAGGAAACCGGAATGATAGTGTGGTTTGAACAGGGTGAGGGGAGGAGTGGAAGGTGGAGATGGGGCCAGAAAGGTGGGCAGGAGATTGCCTTTTATTTGAAGAGCAGAGGATGTAAGGGCCAACTGTTTTACCTCCTGCCTCGTCATCAGACCATGGCAAGTGTGACCATGTTGATTTCGGGTCCTTATTCCATGGGGTGACATGGTGCTTAGCATGTAGGTGGGTGGGGGAAGTGTGCCTGCCCTGTGCCCCAAACGTTCCTGACCTTAGGGTCCGTGGTGCTGTGCTCTCTGCTGTGACCATCCTGTAGAGGCCACTCGTACTTTTTAGTGGGTCAGTGACCAGTGCTAGTGGCTGAGGACTTACAAACGAAGCAGGGCATTTCTAGCCCTGACTGGGAATTCCCCACAGTGTGCAGTTAGGCCTTGGTTCTAGAAGGGAGCTGTCATGGAAGCCGGGCCCCTTCCATTCCTTCATGGAAAAGGAGCGTGTGTGTTGTGGACACAACCGTCCTAACCTTGACACCTGCCGTGTCCTCTGGTCTCTAAGGGAATGGGCTGTTTTTGTTTGTTTGTTTTTAACAAATTATTTATTTACTTTTATTTGCTGTTATTTTAATTTGCTATAGGGTACGTGCCTCACCAGAAAGAGAGAGAGAGAAAGTGAGAAAGCAAACCACCAGGTCCAGGAATCAAACCTTGGTCAGCCATGTGCAAGTCCAGTACCTCAATCGTCATGCCACATGCTGCCCCCTCTTTTAAGTATTTTTTTTTTGGGGGGGGGGTGAGAGGAGCCCAGTGAGGGAGTTGTTAAGGACCTTCCCCAGTGGTGAGTAACAGTACTTTGGAGGTCTAGGGATGTTTTGTTCAGCTTTGGGGAAGGAGTTGCTGTCCGCAGTGGGTGAAGCCATTCCTCAAAAGAAGTTCTTCCTTCTGGAGAGTGGCCCTTCCTCCCAGCAGGCCTCTGGGAAGCTGAGTGGGCAAGGTTTACGCTGCTTCTCTGAGTCCAGTCCCCCGCTCAGTGATGCAGAGACCAGGGCAGGTGCGGGGAGGCATGTGCATTGTCCTCTCAGGGAGCCCACTGTGGGGTGTAGCCACGCAGAGGCCTGGACGTGTGGAAACAGGATGGGTCAGGGCAGCAGCAAGACACGACACAGAGATGCTGGGATAGTAGGCAGCTTCGTGAGCATGAGAGTGAGCCAGGGCGGTTCTTGCTCAAGCCGAGTCATGTTCTGAGGTGTCTTTTCAAGGAATTTGTGTGTGTGTGTGTGTGTGTGTGTGTGCGTTTATTTTTTTTTCCCTTTTGAGTTTCATACACGCATGCACACAATTATGTAAAAATGTAGGAAGTATTTTATTATATGGTTGTAGATCTTTGAAAAAGCAACAACCTGACATTAAATGCCTATGCCAGGTACTATTTTTTAAAAAATAAATGTTGGCCATTGTCATTGATGATATCTCTTCTAATTTACTTTTCTTTACATTTATTTTATCTTTTATTATTATTTCAATTTCTTTTTTACATTCAATTACGTTACTTAGCTTGCAAAGTGAAAATTCCAACATGTACATTTTGTACTGGTCCAGTTGACGGTACTATAAAGTTATCCCTTAACAGGTAATAACCCATTTCTTTGTCCCAGAAATGCCTTGCCTCTAATTTACTTTTTAAATTTATTTTTATGTATTTATTTTGAAAGTTTTGCTAAAGGGTATGTGTACTTGCTGGAGAGATGTGAGGAGGCGGGCTGAGGAGGCACCTCCTGGGGGAATGGCCACACTGCAGTTTTTTCTCCACTCTCCTGGAATTTTGGGTATGCATGTACATGTGCATGGTGTGTTCTGTAAGCCACTGGGTCCAGGATTCAAACCGCCCACTCGGCCGTGTGGCATCTAGCAGTGCCTTAACCTCCACACCACCAGCTGACCATATTTACTTTTTTTTTTTTTTTTTTTAATTATACACATTTATTTTGGGTTTATCCATGATCGAGCATGGCTCATACATGCGAGAGGGGAAGCAAGGACCTCTTAGATCCTGGTCGCTTGCTCTGTTGTCCACGCCTGGTGTGTTTTAGGCTGACTGGGCTTGGGATTTGAAGGTTTTTGTCCTAGGGTGTGTGCACTCGCTGGAGAGAGAGAGACAGTGAGAGGGAAAGTGAGAAATCACCCTTGGTGAAATGGCCACACTGCAATCTCTTCTCCATTCTTCTGAGATCTTGGGCACTCACACACATGTGTTTGGTATGAGTTTCAAGCCACCGTGTCTGGATCTTGAACTGCTGTCGGTCATGTGGGAGTTCATCAACGTAACCACTAGGCCATCTGTTGGTATCTTAAGTGTTCCTTTAACTTATTGTTATTATTATTATTGGAGAGAGTTATTTTTGCCATAGGACCTTGTGTGCTCACCAGAGAGACAGAAAGCGAGAAATCTGCCCATCCCCCGGAGGACGGCCCTGCCGCAGTGCCCACTCTTCCATTCTCCTCTCAGGATTTTGGGCATGCTCACACATGCATTTGGTGTCATTTTCAAGCTGTCGAGTTCGGACTCTAACCACGGTCGGTCATGGAAATCCAGTGCCTTAACCACCATGCCACCTGCTGGCCCTGAGGTTAATGTTCTGCTCAGGGTCAAAGGGCTGGAACTAGAACTTGGGCAGTATGACTCTAGAACTTGCTGTGCTGCTGTGGGGCCTTGGGCATTGTCTTTCCCATAGGCTTTTTCATGCAAAGTAAATATAATTTCTTTTCAGTATTTCCTGGGCTTGCTGTCAGGAGTGGAAACACTTTGATTTGTCTGCCGAGCAGCTACATTGAGGGTACTTGAGGACCTGTGAGGGAAAGCTATGGCCTCCAGACCAGTCAAACATGGGGCAGGCAGGGCAAGAATGAACCAGAAGACCAGCTGACTGGCTGATAAGCGACCGGGCTTTGGTGTCATTTTCTCACCTTGATTCTCCTCCAGATGGGGGCATAACCATCATTTTGCAGCTGACAAAGCTCTTCCTAGTTCTGGGGTGGGAAATCACTTGCTGGGGGCAGCCCTGGGGATCCCAGCTGTATTTCAGATCTGTCCTGTCTAGCCCAGACCACTTATTACTCAGACTGGGCAGACTCTCACCTTGAGGGCATTTGGCTTCCGCTTACCTGCCTTTTCTGTGACCGACAGTGTGGTTCTTCAGGTCTTAGCAGAAAGACTGGGATTGCAATGCGCAAGAAACTGGTCTTCTCCAGCATCCGGGGAGAGCGGCTAGGTGGTTCTGGAGTGTCCATTGTGTTATGATCTCCTAATACCATGAGTTGAAAACCCGGTGCCTATCTATGCTTTATTTCTCTTGGGTTGCTTTCTCTTAAGAATATGCATATTTTGCTAGCTATTGAAATCGAGGCAAAATGTTTTAAAGTAAACAAGTCCATTTTTTTTTCTGTTTCTTGTTAAAACATTGAAAGAACTGGGAGTGTTGGGCCAGATTTCTACGTTGTCACTTTGGGAAGTGGCTGGGCAGATGCGTCTTTCTCCCTAGGAACTAGAGACAATTCTTCTCCTACCTGGAGGTTCAGTTGTCCTGAATGCAGATATCTGACTTGAGTTGATGGGACATAAAACCCAGGAGACCTTCTTGGCAAAGCTCTTTCCTCCCAGTGTCCCAGCTACTGCCAGGGTTGAGGCTGGGACGTCATATCTGGTGGCAGTGTGTCCTGGCTGCTCCCATAGTGGCCCTGCTATCACCGGGAGTGGGCCGTGGTGTTCTCAACTTCTCTGGCCATGCAGGTTGCTGGTTCCAGAAAATG